AGTACTGACAGGCGTAAAGCCACTAGAAAGTAAACTTTTGTTTTATTTATTTAAAATTGTACACACTCGAAATCTTACAACTGACCGAACGCTGGATCGGCTGGCGGGCGTGCCGAAAGACAAGCTGGTCGAGGCCCAGGGCAGCTTCCACACCAACCACTGCATTAAATGCAAAAAGGAATACGGCATTGCCTGGATGAAGGAGGAGATCTTCGCTGATCGGCTGCCCAAGTGCACGGCATGCAAGAAAATTGTGAAGCCGGATATTGTTTTCTTAGGAGAAGACTTACCCGAGAAGTTCCACAAAAGTTTGGATGGAGACTTCAAGGAGTGCGAGCTGCTGACCATCATGGGCACCTCGCTAGAATTGCATCCGTTTGTAGCTTTGGCGCAGTACCCTGGACCGCGCTGTGTGCGTCTCTTGATCAATCGCGATGCCGTGGGTTGTCCCAAGTTTACCACCTGGATGGAGGACCAAAACAACGACTGTCTGCGGCAGCATCCACTTGGCACTGGGCTCGACGAGAACAGCGAGCATTCAAATGCCACTTTCACCCACCTACGTTGAGGCTCTCAGGTACTTTATCCGATTTTGAGAAAGATTAATTAGTATTGATTCAAGTTCATCCCACCGTAGAGTGACCGATGAAAACAGCGCTGGCGCAGCACAGCTCATTGATCAGACGATGAACATCAGACAGCACATCCGTTCTTGTGAACTCCTCTCTCGAGTTCGAAGTATCGGCATTGTGGATGGTTCAGCAGGACAGCAGGTTCAGGACAGCCCAATAGATGCTGCCCAGGCAAGCGGCAGTGACCCTCCTTCTAGAGCGAATAGAGAAAGGCCACAGTCTGAATGGTCTTGCCGAGGCCCATCTCATCGGCTAGAATGGTGTAGATAGCCTGTCGAAGCTCTTCAGGTACTTTATCCGATTTTGAGATATATTAATTAGTATTGATTCAAGTTCATCCCACCGTAGTGTGAGCGATGAAAACAGCGCTGGCGCAGCACAGCTCATTGATCAGACGATGAACATCAGATAGCAGACTGCAGCTCCAGCTCGAAAACATCATCACTTCCGATCTTGTGANGCGGCAGTGACCCTCCTTCTAGAGCGAATAGAGAAAGGCCACAGTCTGAATGGTCTTGCCGAGGCCCATCTCATCGGCTAGAATGGTGTAGATAGCCTGTCGAAGCTCTTCAGGTACTTTATCCGATTTTGAGATATATTAATTAGTATTGATTCAAGTTCATCCCACCGTAGTGTGAGCGATGAAAACAGCGCTGGCGCAGCACAGCTCATTGATCAGACGATGAACATCAGACAGCAGATTGCAGCTCCAGCTCGAAAACATCATCACATCCGTTCTTGGGAACTCCTCTCTCGAGTTCGAAGTATCGGCATTGTGGATGGTTCAGCAGAACAGC